ATTTTGGGGTTCGGTTTTTATAACCCGCTCAAATAAACGGGAAACGATGTATATTTGGTATAAGATTAATATATTTAAAAATAAATGTAGATTTTAAGGGGTATAGTAGATCAAAATTCAAATCAAAATTCAAAATACTAAAACTTTCTTTGAAATGATTTAGTTAGAGGAAATCTATATATATATATATATATATATATATATATATATATATATATATATATATATATATATATATATATATATAGGGTAAAGTGAATATACCTAACAACCTTATATAAGCTTAGGTACCTAACCACATTATACTTCATTGTTTTGCATTATATTTCCATTGCAATCGTCTAAGGTTCTTAAACTTCAACCCTTAACTTGATTTACTTCCAAGATTTTCATATATTCACCATTATATTCTTTCTACACCATTTGATTTGTAACGGTAGTATATGAAGCCCACCAGGGGTCTCCGATAGAAAGGCGTTATTTGAAGGAAGATAATTGTGAACGTCCAAAGATTTTGGAAGCAATCAAGTTATGAGGTTGAATTTTAAGAACTTTGGGTGATTACAATTCGAATATGATACAAAATTACGTAGTATGATGTGGTTAAGTACCTAAGCTTATATAAGGTTGTTAGGTATATTCACTTTACCCACATATATATATATATATATATATATATATATATATATATATATATAATATATATATATATATATATATATATATTAGAATTTTTGTATTTGAAGAGATAAGTTCTAAAATTAATTTGATTTCGTTTTCAGATATGATATATGAAATAAATCGTTCAAACAATCAAATTCGAAATTCTAAAATTAATTGATCAACTAATATAAATATACTGTTGAATTCCTTTTATGTTAAATGTTTATATTTGGTATAAGATCAAATTTAAAATAACATCCGCTGATTTTATGGTTTTGATGCATGTAATTTTGGCTATGAGATAAATCCTTTAATTAATCAAAAATGAAATTGCCCTATTTGTTAGGAACTGATGGTCAAATTATGCAATAATTTCCTAGGTGGGAAAAGTAGAGTGTAAATCTTTGGTGGATTGACACGGGGCAAGTCATAAGATGCAAAAGATGACACATGTCCATTTAAATACTCTTTTATTAAGAATAAATTTTCATCTGTATTTATTACCCAAACACTTTTAAAGCTTATAGATTTCCCAAAAACTTTTAAAAAATGGTAGTAAAAAGCTCTTTTCAAAAGCACTTATTTATTTACCAAACACTTTTAAAGCTTATAGAATTTTTTGAAAACCTAAAAAATCAAAAATAAAACATAGTTTGGAAAACAATCCTAAATACCCCCTTAATATACTTGTTTCTCACCGCCACATAACATATATTCCTGTAGTTAAAGAATTCGATCACTAGAAAAATGATGACTACTACTGCCAAGACAACCTATAGGTGTTTGCGATGATGAAATGACCCTTTATTCTGTCACCAGTATTGTAACATCCAAAATTTTCAATCCAAATTTTCTAATTTAAAAACTAAACATCCCAATTTCATTCTCATAAAAAATCAATAACCAATGTATAAATTTGAAAAACCAAAAACCAAATATCATAGCTGTAAAAGATAGTAAACATCATTGATGTGAAACTCTCCAATGGATGAAATACAATCAAGCTATGTCGTTCCCCTTGCTATCGAAACAAACTAAAACATTTAAACTTAAATTGTAAGCATAAAGCTTAGCGAGTCCCTCAAATACCACATAATCAGTTTTTCTATTTCAACTTAACGGGTTTGTTTCAACCTAATGAGTCTATTTCAACCCAACAAGCCTCGCCCAACAAAGCATGTAAGGATACAAGCAACCGGAAAGACCGTATTAGTTTATCATTCAATGACACCTAGGGTCTAATATAGTATGTGAGAAGACTTACTTCAATAAAAAAGGCGAATATCAAGCACTTTGAAGTCTTGCAACGACAGCTACGTGAATAACCTAAACCAATAGAGGCTCAAACACCATTCTATAGTTAAAAACCTCCAAGTTTGACCAAAACTTAATGGTCAAAGTCAAAGTCAACGGTGAACAACCACCGTGTTGCCACTAACTACTTGGATATGTTGGAGTCACTCTAAGCCAAAACAGTCGTAAATGGATCTTGCGACCCGTGTCACGAACGACAACACACCATGTCGCGGTTTACAGTAAAAGGACAACTTTCATGTAAGGTCATAGTCCAGTAAGATCAAGGCTTTAAGCTTCTAGATCATGTTGAAATAACGAGTTAATGGATAAAGTTTTCAACTTTATCCATTAACGTACATCAAGCCATCGTAATACCAAACCTAGATTTAGATTAAGTTCTTACTGCTTCCAAGGCCCTACATGGAACAAAATGGAAGATAATAATCTTAGTCTTGGACTCTTAGGGGTCCAAAAGGCCCCAAGACTCAAAATTTGACCCTAGAATTTGCCAAACCCCACATGAATCCCATAGAAGTGTCCAAAACAATCATTAGATCTTGAATCTAAACATATGAAATTAACAAGTTCCAAGCTTGAAGACTTATAGAGGTCCAAAGCCAAGAAATAAGGTTGACACTTGAATAGATCTAGAACCTTGGCATACAAACCACATTCTTCTTCTTCCAGGAGCAGTCCAAGGCTTCAAACACCAAGAAACACACACATACGAGCACACTAGGATTAGGATTTCATTCTTGAGGGTAGAGGCTGAGAGAATCAAAAAACCCAAGAAGTTAGTGCACTTATATAGGGCCCAAAGCACGAGATTCAGGGTTTTTTGCTCGACCGCCAACATGGCGCAGATCACTACCTGATTGCGCCATAGTTTTAAATGACATTGCCACATCGTGACCTATAGAAGTCGCGTTGTGCCAACTAGAAAATCCTAGAACCCAAACTTTGATTAAAATAACCTTAAAGTATCACATACGTGAATCAAGTATTAAAAATATTCACAATCGGATGTAATAATTTTTCACACTACTACAACAATATCTTTATTAACATGATCAAATGCAAGTTGTTTGATTAATTACTAAGAAATGATTAAATATATATGTTAGGTGTATTTTATATTCCTATTTTGCACATCTAATTCCATTTTTTCATTGTATTTTAGTTCGTAATTCTTGCATTTAGTTAATAATAATGGCACTTGCATGTTTTATTCAGAATATTTGGTACTTCCATGATCTTTGAATTATTTTGGAGGCATTACGGATATGTGGAGCAAAAGAGTTTTGGAGGCGAACATAAATAAGGGAGCACTGAAGCTTTAGTGCATAAATGAGAGAAGATGGATCAGACGAGTTGCGGAAGGAAGCTTAAAGACATAGTCAAAAGTCATTTCACTTCATCATAGCAAATAACTATGCTTAACAAGCGGTCCATATTGAACCAACATGGATCGTGTTTGTCCTTTCTGAAGGGAGAGCGAAGAATAAAGACCATTTGGAGTTTCAGCAAAAAGCGTGGTCGTATGCCAAAACTCACGGTCACAAGTGCAAAAAACGCAGTCGTGAGTTTCCTTCGAGTTTTTTCTAGGCAATTACCAAATGAGCTAAAATAGAGGGAATATGGTCATTTTTCATATGGACGGTTTTTGTATCTTCTTTAGACAACTTTTGAAGAATTTTGAAGACTTCTAGTCATTAACACTTTTAATTCCATCACTTTGATTATTTTTTTAGCCATTTGTGACTAAAAAACCTAGTTTCCGGATTTTGTTCGGGACATATCATTTATTTGATTTGAAGCATATGCGTAGATGTTTGGTTTATAATTATATTATAGTGATTGTGTTTTTTAAACCAAAATCCTTGAATTTGATTTGTGTTAGATTGACCATTTATATAATTTGAGTTCATGTGTCGTTAATTAACTTTTAGTCACCTAATGGTTCTATAAAGTTAATGTGAGGTAACAATAAATAAGCTTTCTTATTATAGAATACAAATATGATGTTTTCACACTTTTGAACATGAGAATAAATGATCATTGTTGGGAAGATTGTACAAAACTTAATGTGGTTTTAAATACAATTTAAGAGCGGATTTAGGTTGAATTAGTATAACTATGTTTAATCAAAGAACGTGTTTTGATTAGATAATATAACAAGCGGGAGACGTTAGAGCGTGTTAACATATTTCAGTACCAATATAAAATGGTAATTATGAAATGCATCAAAGCATAATCAAGTCAAATGTCAATATAGAGTACTGAAACTGGAATCAATTGTTATTACTATTTGTAGTTTATTTAATTTAGTACATGTTTTTACATTTGATTGTTCCAAAATTACTCAACCCCCTCCTCCTTGTGACCTAAGTACCTTATTCAAAGAGGTATAAACCGTTGTCTTGTATCTCTATGATTCGACCATGTTTGTGCTTTGTTTTAGTACATTAGAGCAGTGAATTATGGATATATTATCATTTCATTTGTGAGGTTTGACACCCTAATAATTTCCATGAAAATATAGTTGTATAAAATATGAGAAAACCAAAAAAAGAAGAAACAAATGAAAACAATTTTTAGGTCAACCACACATGTAATTTGTTCTTTGTCGGTTCAATTAACGATTTTAGTGGAAATTAATGGATGAGTAAAACCAAAAATCTTAAAATATAGTTTTATTTATTAAATATACTCCTAATATCATTAATAGCCCCACTAATGAATCAACATACATCAGTTAATATTAGTCCATTTAAAAAATCTAAGAGATTGAAATTACCTAAAAAAAGTCTAAGAGATTAAATTTACTGAAATGCAGGCGTTCTCAGATGTTTACTTTTGTTAAAAATCTCACTCCAATATGAATGAATACAAATTAAAAAGGAAAGATATCGACCCATAGTAATAGAAAAGAATTCATATTTCGTATATAAAGTGTCTCAAACCGATACAACATTGAACAAATAAATATATATGAATATTAAATAACCAAACTGAAGAATACAAAACAAACAAAACATGTTTCAAACCAAGAGCAACAAAACACTGCCGAATAATGCAACTACAATGCCATAGACTCTTGTTACTATCAATTTGGTCGATGCAGATATTGGTACTGGGCTCGGAGCGGGAGTTATTGTTTGTGGTAAAACAGTGATAACAAGCTTCATGTTTCTTAACTCACAATGCTTCCCAACACCACAAATGTACCATTTTCTTCCTGGCGTTTGAAGTGGGATGATATCTCTTCCACTTGTTAAAGTTCCATTCGAAGATGAAACTATACATTGTTGAAAACCGGTGCCATTGACTTTCATCACATTGTGGGCACCAGATGCATAATTGAATACTGCACAAGAATATAAAATAAAAAGCTTAATTTTTTTTGAAAACCTAAAATGTTTGAAAATGATATTAAAGAAGCTAATTGTTGGTATATTTGTGGGAATTAATATAACGTACCAAGTGTATCTCCAACGATGAAAACTTTATCCTTAGCCCAAGATTGGTAATCAAAGTCGAGAGTCCAACCACTTTTGTCCCCAACAATGTATTCCATGGCGGATATTGAAGTTGCAAGAACAACAAGTGTTGCGATGAAGATGATGATTGAATGTGATGCAGCCATTTGAAATAATTATGAAATTTCTAATCAATATTTCTTTTAAAACACCCTAAAAATGGATTGTAGTTTGCTTATAGGCTATATGCATGCATGTTTATTTATGCTTATTTATAGTGTTTGGGAATGAATTAATGTAAAAGTGCGAACTATGCAACCGGCAATGGACGGCAATGACATTGTGGAATTCGTCCTATTTTTTTTTTTGCCATTCGATTGCTACACTAACTATTAAGAAAACTACTTTTTTCTTTCTTTACCAAGTGTCATCATATTTTGATTGTGCTTCTTTCACAGGATCCATGCAAAATATTTTTTTTAGAATGAAATTATGAAGGAACTTTTATTATTATTATAATTATTATTTTCTTATTTGGAAGATGGGTCCTAAAGTTGAAAATGATTCTATCCATGACTGCTCCATGTTTTGTTATTTAACAAGTTGATTATTTTTTGGTAAATCAATAACGTTCGTAACCTGTCAATCGCGAGTTTCAAATTTCCATACAATATGGTCATTATTAAGCCCTTATCTCGAAACTTTTCAAAGGTTCTGTCAACTATCATAATGTTGAAGATATTTTCTACAGTGAACCTTTTCCTAAAGTGTTGAATTAGGAGTGTTGCATCAAGATGTAGATTCCTTAATGAATATCACGTTTTCTTCTTTATGTTCTATGCATTTATTTTTTATGTGTGAATCGATTTCCATCATTTAACTACAAGAAATATGGGCAATGACAGCAACACCAATAGGGGCGATATCCAACTGGACATGCTGGGGTCTTCCCTAATGTATCCATTGGCTCAAATACCTATGTTGCAACTAATGTCTGTGTCACCCGTGTTGGTGTTAAGATTGTGATGTTTTGCCACCATATTTTTCATGTCGTCGCTAATACCACTAAACATGTTGCCACTAAGTGTCACCAGTAATGGTGTCACCATTATTGCTTATGTTTTCATTCCGTATGCACTCTATAATCCAAGTCATCCTATTTTATAACAATGCAATGGCCTTGCTATATATTCTGATGATTCATGTGATAGCCAAGGTACAAACCTCCACCACCAACCTTAAAACTATATCCCTCTTTTGTCTAACAACTTACTACAAGCTCTATTCTCCCATTTATCTCTAAAACTTTGCCACCATCCACCTTACTGCTGCACCACATCATACACATTATTCCCAAGTTAGGGGAGAGTTGAACACCATAAGATACATTGTTTTTGAACTTAAAGCTCCATCAGACCCATTGTTATCGACCTTCAAAAACCAGAACATCTTCTAAGCACTTATTCCCGGATTAGGAAACACATCTTATAAATACTTGTTCACGTAACTCAGATTTGGGGGGTTTTTTTTGGGTTTTGGATTTTTTCAAGAAAAACATTCACTTGGAAAATACATTTTTCATTAAAAAAAAGAATTAGGAAACACATTTAATTTCAAAGTAAAAAAAATAGCAATACACACTACTAGAAAATTGGGCGATTTCCGACGGCCATATCCGTTGGAAATCCGTCGCTAAACAAGTTTTCCGACGGAATTCCGACGGAATTCGTTCTGTCGTAAAAAGCCCCGTGGGTAATTATTTGTGACGGAATACCGACCGAATTTCCGATAGATTTCCGACGGACAGCGACGTCCATTTGTCGGACCTCTTTGACAAAATTAACGACGCAATAACGACGGAGTACCAACGGATACTGTTTGTGACGGATTACCGACAGAAACTTCTTTGTAACGGATTACCGACGGATAGTTTTAGTCACGGATTACTGACGAAACGTTAATTACCGACGGATAGTTTTAGTGACGGATTACCGACGGAACAATAAGTGACGGTTTACCGACAGAACCATAAGTGACGGATTACCGACGGAATCATAAGTAACGGGTTACCGACGGATTGTTTTTTGTGATGGATTTATGACGGATGTTCTTACTTTTCGTTTGTGACTATTCAGTCACTACTCCGTCGGTAAAATGATTTTTTAAAAAGAAAAAATAATGAAAAAAAAAATCCAATTTTTATCCACATAAATGCAAAAAGTAAACTGAAGTGAATACATAAAAAAGAAATATGATAAAGTGTCACAAAATATGATCACACCACATACGATTACCATATTTAATTAACCGTCTAACAAGACACTAATTAGTATTCCAAAATACCTAATTAAACATCATACTTCGGATGTGATTACCAATTGTTTGAACATAACTAAAAAGTGTCACAAAATATGATTACCAATATTTTAGATTAGAAACATAAACTAGTTTCTTTGTGGTGGATTTCCGGAGAAATTGTTTTGCTTGAAAAAATCCGTCATTTGTGCTTCAAGCAAGGCATGCTTTATTCGCATCTCCTCCATTTCCAATTCCCTTTGTGCGTCTCGTGCTTCCCTTTGTGCTTCAGCTTCCCGCATGCTAGCCATTTCATTGCGCAATCTTTCTACCTAAAAATGGTAAGGCAAACATAAATAATTAATAAAACCATTATAGCAATGTACTTTAATAACAACATATTTTCATTTTTTATCCATTATAGCAATCAAAGTACTCATTACAACATGCTATACTTTTTGTCCATTATATCAACGTACTCATAATAACAACTTACTTTGAGTTTTTTTTAATCCATTATAGCAATCAATTTAATCCATAATAACAACATACTATACTTTTTGTCCATTATAGCAACGTATTCATAATAACAACATACTTCGACTTTTTTTACCCATTATAGTAATCAAATACTCATAATAACAATATACTATACCTTTTATCCATTATAGAAACATACACAAAATAACAACATATTTTGACTTTTTTACCCATTATACTAACAAAGTACTCATAATAACAACACACTGCACTTTTTACCCATTATAGCAATGTACTAATAATAACATACTATACTTTTTATTCATTATAGTAATGTACTAATAAAAAGAACATACCTCTTCATTTTGCACATAATGTGAGCTGTCACCCCCCACAGATAGTGACCCCGTAAACAAAACTAACTATCGGCAGTCCCAATCCCATACATACGACCCTTGTGGGTCCCTTTCTATCTTTGCAACTGTGACATGTTCCATACATCAACATCGTGCACATGCTTTGTGGGATCATCTCCATATTTCTCACTCAATCCCCTCATATATGAATCCTATAATTTACCAAAATAACATCATTGTGATTATAACAAAAATTGAGACTATCAAAATATAGAAATGATAAAGTTAACTTACATGTGCCTGACGTGCTGTCACACCCCCAAACCAGAATGGCGGAAACATTCGGGGGTGGATGACTTCACGTAGTATCACAACAATTGAATATTGTAAAGAAAGTAACATAACCATCATATATATAAAATGAAAACGTATATTGTTGCGTTATACATGTTATCAAAAGAATATTACAATATGATGATAAACGTTCAATAATAAAAAAAGAAACATCCTTTGTGTTCCTTCTCCCAAAAGCTGGTAGTTACCTGTATCACTGATTCCCTGAGAAATACAAGTGGATTTTGAAAAGTGTCAACAATTAAGTTGGTGAGTTCATGAGTGTTTCAAGTTGAAAAGTATATCCTTTTTGGTAGTAATTTGGTAAACGAGGTTTTTAGAAAGTCCAATATTTTCTTGTAAAAAGTTTCCAAAGTTGGAATATGTTAGTATCTTTTATACTCGAATGATAAAAAAAACAACTTTGTATGAAAAATAATGTAGAAAACTGCACTGCACATATGAATCTCGTAAATCAATCTTGTTTTATACTTTTTATGTGAGTTTTATAACCATACTATTGACACTGACGGCCTGTAACAACATTCTTCAGGTGTTGCAGTGTTATGACATTTGTCACCCCAGACCTACCGGTCTAACTATAGCTAGTAGTTTAGGTGCGGGATTGTCAATCCCGTATAGATCTATACACAAGTATCACGCTCTCCCTCCAAGAGATTATGATATATAATACAGGACTTGAAATGCATAGAAAAATGTATGTTGAAGTTTGAATATCTCACATTACCTAGTATAAGTAGATTTACAATGAAATGACCTTAAAAGTGTTTTGTTTTTCAAGATGTATATGTAAAATGTAGGGCTGACTTGTTAACTATACCCATTATAGTTTTTCAGATAGTATGTTCCATTTAGTAGAAATAACTTAGTGACATAATCGCTCTTGTATACATAAGATGTTTGTATCAATATTCGAAGATAGAAATTTCATTTATGTTTATAAAACGATACTTTAACGTGTAATGTACTTGTATTCCCCCCCCCCCCCTAAAAACATGAAAAAGAATTGAAAAGTAGGGGTATGAACTCACTCGTTAAGTTTGAAGAGAGAGACTAGAGTTAAGTAGAACTTCGATCGCGGATAGTTGCATCGTCGGGCTCTTCGGGGATCTCTGCAACGTAAATCTTTCGTCGGGGGCTCGAGTGTGGAAACCGAGGTGAGGGGAGGGTCTCTGGAGCTTAGAAGTATGAGAGAATGGCTGAGGGATTGTGATTTGTGTGCAAAAACTCGAGCTTAAGCCTTCTATTTATAGGGCTGGAAACCCTCGTACGCGGCGCGTACCTCCGAAGTACGCGGGGCGTACTTCGGTTATGCGGGGCGTAACAATGCGTCATGGCTTACGACGCCTGGCTAGCTAGGCGTAGCTTGGGCGGGCCGATGGGACTCGAATCTGGGTCTAGTACGCGGGGCGTACTCCCAGAGAACGCGGGGCGTAATCCGCCCTGTCCTCTTCTAAATTCCGTAACTTTCGCGTACGAGCTCCGTTTTTCATGTTCTTTATATCCACGCGTAGGTGAGATTATGCTCTACAACTTTCATTTAGACTCCGTCGGCTAGTTTTGTCTTTATTTTTAATGATATATTTTTAATAGGCCGGGCCTCCTAAAGTTCGTTAAAAAAAAACTCATAGGTTCTTTATTCGACGTTGGTTTTTGTTTGTCTTCTCATCCATTTGTTCCTA